CATATCATTTGTTCCTTTTTGCTTACAATTCCTATTGTTCCTGTAAATGAGGAGATAATATTAAAAGGTGAAAGAGGAAGAATTAGAGACTATAAGGACCGCAGTGAAAGAGTTCGCAGAGGTTAAGTTGAATAAGCCAGGCTATAATCCTAAATTTACACTGGTAATAGCGACAAAAAGGCACAATAAACGTTTTGCAGTCGAGGATGCAAATGGTATGTTTATTGGTTCATCTGCAACAAGAATGTCTTTTTTGTAAGGTTTAAGGATGAAAAGCTGCTCTAACTGTACGGCTTTTAGGCGTTTTGCAAAACTCCCTACCAGGCACTGTAATCGATCATACCGTGACTCGGCCTGATGTTACGGAAATGTTTATTCAGGCGCATAGAATCATACAGGTGACAACGGGTACCATAGTAATGTCAATTTTTTCTTTGTTTTGCTCAGGAGTCTAGAATTGGTTTTTGTAGGGCACGGGTAAACTACCAGCGTATACTGTGCCTTTAAACGAAATCAACTTAGTAATGGAGGAAATACAGTCTTTAATGCTAGCTCTATGTTATACACATCAGATTGTTAATTCCGCTGTTTCTATTCCGGAACCGATATTTCAAGCGGATGAGTGGGCGAAACGAGGAAGAAATGTATTTCGGGCTATGTTGTGGGTTTTACCGTAATTTTGGTCATTTTAGTACTTACGAAACTCTGTTTAATTTTAATTGGGGCCGTTATCCATTTATTCTAACTAAAAAACTGATAAAGGACGTCAAAGTGATTTGTTGAAGAGTAATGGAATTTCCTCCCCAAGCCTAGTTCAGAGTTTTGGCAATTGTTAAGCCGGGGACTTGACAACTTAGTAATTGGTCTCTATTTTTCTGCTAGCTCCTCTTTTATCGTTACTGAGGGACTAAACTCATGCCCATTCTGATGAGAATTGCTAAGTCCAACCAGCCGACTATTCAGAGTTGAAAAGTGTGTACTGGTTCGCATGGGAGTGGAAATAACTTTTTAACTCGAATGGCGTTTTTTTTTTTTTTTTTTTTTTTTT